AACACCAAGCTATTAAGCCTTGAACGTTCTCTATTTTTTGTCTCTTTCATTCATTTGAGGCTATCTTTAATCGCTGGTTAGTCAAGTTAACGTAACTCCACTCGGATTATCATTGTTTGAATGTATATCTTTATATTATAAAAAATTGATCTATCTCATGGCGTGGCGTAGTTATCTCTATTATAGGTCAGAATCTCCTCCAGTCTGTTTTTTAATTAAGTTTTATATTTTTGACCTTGCTTATTTTCGTGTTTTAGAAGCGTTTTTGAAATAATTTATTTATTTTTTATTTTTTTCTTGCTTCAAATTAATATTTTTTTGGTATTTTCAAGTTATTTTTATGCAACGATGTTAAAAATAATTTTTTAAAGATAAAAATATATTATTTTAATATATTTTCAATTGAAAAATATTTTGAAAAATAACAACAATTATACTCTTGGATACCCCCTAAAATTTTAGACGATGAACATTCTGATCCAATTTTGTTCATCAAATTATTTTCTCCAGGCTTCCTTTAAGATTACAACCCAAGAAGGTAAATTAATAATAAAAAAATCAGTTGCCATCTTAGCTCAGAGAAGTGCTTAGATGATTTGTCATTTAACTACTTAATTTAATAATTTTTAATTGTATATATATACACACACGCATATAAAAATCACATGAAGATAATGAATGGTTTTTTTTAATCACGTTTGATGGAGCATGTAAAAAAGTTTTAGGGTTTTGTTCATCCCTTGTAAACATACATCTGTTAACTTGCAATACTCGGAGGCTTTTGTATAAATAAATCATCAATGTTTTATCATATTTGATATTGAGGTATTTTTAACACAACTGTTTTCATCTTTTCATCTTTTTTGTTTGTAAAAGGCTCAGTTAAGGTTTTGTTTACCTTGAAGGGTTTTTTTTTGTTTTTTTTTTTTATATATATCAAAAGCAAGACCCAGAATATTTTTTTTAAAAAAAACACTGTAATCAAAAAAATATTTATACTTTTGATGGAAAAAAAAGGCAAAACATTTTTTTGTAATATCTATTATTTTTAAAATAAAAATACATTAAGAAACATTAACGAGTCAACAAATATTACTATCACCAGTGATGCTCTCATCTTTATAAATTGTAGTTGTAAGATTCATTTGGTTTATTATTCAATCCATGTCTTAAGTTGAGGTTAAGTAGGTTAATTAAAGTTTAATTGAGTCAATAAAAACATGTTTTTTTAAAAAAATTAAGTAATACTATTTAAAAAAAACTAAAATCAAGTATAATATAACCCACTAAATCATCCAAGTTTGATTATTTCAACTTCCACTTAATTTAATAAAAAACTCGGTTAAATTTTGGGTTGATTAATCATTTAATTAATATGTTATATCAAACTGGGTTTTATAACATTGTTTTGGAGTACAATATAAAGCTTAAATATGAGAGGATATCAAAATAAACGAAATCAACCAGCCTAGGATCATACGCTTTTTATAAAAAACAGGTGTCAACAGCATTCAACCATATCCTTTTGTGTTGTTATACTTGGCCGTTGCTTTTCAAATAAAAAAAAAAACAGAAATCAATTTTTTATGGTTAAAAAAATAGAACAATGTCCATGGCAGTCACTGTTACTGCGTTGGAGTTATTTATTCTTCGAACATGGAAACGGGACATTTAATATTCTCTTACGGTTCTTCAAGGTAGTATTTACTTATTATACCGAAATATAAAACACGGATAGAAAAGACAAATTAAAAAAATAAAATAAAAATAAAATTATATTTAATTATAATATACCAGATAAAATAATTATTTTTATATTTTATTTAGTTATGACAGATAAGATAAAAATATATTATACCATTAATATGTATTATTCTCCAACTTATATAATTTATAAAATAACTAGATACATATATATTTTTTACTTCATATTAAAATTAATAATATTATAACCATCTTAGTCATGACAGATTTTTTTTTTCTTGCCTTTACGTACACTAGCCGACATAAAACATTTGAAGGTAAACTATCAAAACATTTGAAAGTAAACTATCAAAACATTTTTTACAATTATAATTTACCACTGCACCGACCACAAGTAGCCCCAGCCACAAACCACAGGCTGATATACCAAACCGAGATTGGCTTTCAAACTGTGGCATTGACTGCTTCCTGGTAAATTATCAATATTTTATTCGATGCCATGCATTAATTTCTTCTATTTTTCAACCACATTTCAGTTTGAGCTATCTGGCACCAGTGGACCTAAAGAATCAGCTTCGAAGAAATTTGGGCTCGAGCAGACGTAAACATCGAATGTTGGAATAAGAACGAATAAATGCCAGAGCAAACCATGTCGTAGTATTGTCAGGCCTCGAACTTATGCTGTCCTTCCTCTTCCCAGGGGGGCGGACATTTATCCATGTTGGTACGATCCCTAAAAGGAACATCTATGCAGCTGGCCCACTAATCAAACCCGTCTTAAGATTTTTTACATGGAGGCCCATTTACCACATTAGGGTTATCATTCAATACCCATCGTGAATCAGGGGTTAGTAAACAAGCCTAGTTATCGCACAGAGATCGCCCTAACTCAGCTGTGACGAATTATAGCAATTCTCTTCTCTTTATCAGATCAGGATATTGTTTGGATTTTAGAAGTTGGTTCGCTGAATGCAGATGCTTCTGTCGTTGTAGCTAGCTAGGCTGATCGCTGTAGAAGGTTACGAGAATAGGTGTTTGGAAGTGTAGTAATTATTATTTTTAAAAATTATTTTTACTTTGAAATATATTAAAATAATATTTTTTTTATTTTTTAAAAATTATTTTTATTATTAGCATATTAAAACTATCCAGAAATATAAAAAAAATTAATTTTTTAAAAAAACTTTTGTAAAAACAGACAAACAATTTCTTATATGTTATAAATGCAGAACTCCATGGTATATTAACCCGTCTTTATCGTGGCCAGGCATTACAGATTTTTACAATTTAGCACTCGTGCCCTTTTGGCGTGCGTGTTGTTTTTACTTGTGTGCGGCAGTGCTTTTGTGGCCATTTTGAGGTGCACATGGACTCAGTACTCTCTGCAAATTTGTTGTCCTTCGAGCCTTAAAATTTGTTCTTCGTAGAAGAGCACCCGGAGCCTTAGATGACCCCTCACACCGTGGGGCCACAGAATCCTTGTTTAAAAAATTCCAAAGCGAAACGGCTCACTGATCGGTTGTGATTGTTATAGTCACGTGAACATGCATTAATTATAACTCATACTTGACCCTGCCGCGCTCCAAACGTTTTTTTAAAATAAAAAAAATTATATATACATACTTCTTCGACATGTTTTTTAATAACAAAAAATTATGTACATATATCATTAAATAAATTAAGAATTATTTGTATAAATAAATAAATAATATAAATAATAACTAAAAAATAAAAAATTAGGAGATAAATATAAATCAATATATTTAATATTATAAGTAAGGATATTTATCCAATTGTGTTTGCTAAATTTTTTATTAAAATAACTTTTTTTAGTTGAGCAAATAATAATAAAAATAGTGAGACAAGTTAAATTGACAAAATAAAATTAAAAAAAAAACATTATGAAAGGCTATATCTATTAAAAATATTATCTTTAAATATTTTTTATTTTAAAAAATAAAATTCATCTATATAAAAGATAAAAATAAAAAACCTATAATGAATAGAAAAACTCTTTAAAATTAACTATATATATAAAAAATAATTGTTATTTAAAAGAGATTTTCTAAAACGAAAAGGATAAGGGGGTATAAATCTAGATATGAATAAAAATACAGCAAAAAAAACCATATAAAAAAACATTTAATTTTAAAAAATAACTTGAGAAAATATAATTTGATAAAAAGAAGAAGCAGAAGTCAGGTGTTGTCAGGGTTAGGCAAGCCTGGCTTGCCTGCATGGCCCGTTTCATCAGAACTCGTTCAACTACTTCCCTATTTTTTTAATTGCAACCATAATGGATAGCATGTAGTCCTTCCAAAATGTTTTTTAAAAAATCAAATGATGTGTCGTATGATTTGCCTCGCTTCTAGCCACCATGACGTTTGAAAAATAAAAAATTGTGTTTTTTTACCAAAAAAAGTAAAAAACCTGTTTTTAGCCTAT